AGAAGGCGTTTGTTTGTTTGTTTGTTTGTTTGTTTTAACAGAGCCTTGCTTTGTCACCCAGGCTGCTGGAGTGCAGTGGTGCTCTCTCTGCTCACTGCAACCTCCGCCTCCTGGGTTCAAGCGATTCTCCTGCCTCAACCTCCCGAGTAGCTGAGATTACAAGCGTGCATCACCATACCTGGCTAATTTTTGTATTTTTAGTAGAGACAGGGTTTCACCACATTGGCCAGCCTGGCCTTGAACTCCTGGCCTCAAGTGATCCGCCTGCCTTAACCTCCCAAATTGCTGTTATTACAGGCATGAGCCACCATGCCCAGCTGGAAGGAGACCTTTACTGTCACATCGGTTGCAATTTGTGTGTGGGTTTAGAGCATTTCTAGATTTTCTATGAAATTTGGAAAGTTATTTTTACTTTCTTTAAAATGGTAGAGATGTCCAATAAAGTGAACCTAAAGAAGTAGAGAAAAGGACTGTTTGCACAATATAACTATAAAAATTCCAATTTGAAGAAACCAAAAGATCATCTACTACAACAATTCATAAAATGTTGGCATCCCTTCAGTGGTATACTTGTTAGAGATTGCTTTATCATATAGCAGGGAAATGTATAGCTGTAGGAACCAAATAGACCAAGGTTTAAATATCAGTCCCATCACTTCCTAGCTATCTTACCTAAGTCAAATTGCTTAATTTCCATTAGCCTCAGTTTTCTTATCAGTGAAATGGTGCATAAAAGCTACCCTGTGTGTAGTTGGTAAAAATTAAATGAGATTATATATATATATACACACACACACACACATAGGCACAGTGCTAAGTGCTATATATACATATATATATATACACACACACACCTATGTATGCCATAAAAAATGTCATACATGCTGGGCACAGTGGTCATGCCTGTAATCCTACCTACTACTTTGGGAGGCTGAGGCAGGAGGATCACTTGAGACCAGGAGTTCAAGGCCAGCCTGGGCAATATGGTAAGACACTGTCTCTACAAAAAATTTAAAATTTAACCAGGCATGGTGGCCCCTGCTATGGTGTCAGTTACTCAGGGGGCTGTGGCAAGAGGATCCCTTGAGCTCAGGAGGTTGAGGTTGCAATGAGCTATGATTGCACCACTGCACTCCAGCCTAGGTAACAAAGCGAGACCCTGTCTAAAAAAAAAACCGAAAACCAAAAAACAAAAAAAAAAAAACAAATCATACAAAGCACTTAATAAAACTTAAAAGCAAAACCATACAAAACTCTCAGTTCTGTGAGCTTTTTCACTTGCCTACCTACTTTGAAGTGTTGTCCTTAGGAATAGAATTACATATTTAAAGCACTTATCACATGGTAGAGACTCATTAAGTTAGAAGGGCCATTATTATTTCTTCCAGATTATCGTTCTACATCATTCATTCATTCATCAAATATTTGGGAGGAATTGACTGTGTGCCAGTGGTTTGAGGGAACTCAATGAATGAGACACTTGTGTTCCTCGTTCAAGTCTGGAGGTGATTGGCTTGAGGTGGTTTGAGTGTGACAGGCAGAGAGAGGCAGAAGTTTGGGGCTAAGTGACAGGTAGGTGTTGGTGCCATTGACTAATCTAGGGCAGGTTGGAGGAAAATAAGATTTTGGGGCAGAAGATGATGAAGAAGAAATCAAGGGTTCTATTTTTCCTATGTTACGTTCAAGATGCTCATGAGACATTCAAGAGGAAGGTCATGGAGGTAGCTGAATATATAAGGCAAGAGAGATTTGACTGGAGAAAACAATGGGTTCATTATGACATATGCATGGCATTTAAAACAACAGAGCTTGATGAGGTGCTGAAGAAAAAGTGTTGAAAAGAGAAGAGAGGCTGAAACTGAAATCTGAGGAGCCTCAACATTCAGAACTCAACTGGGCGCTGTGGCTCAAGCCTGTAATCCCAGCACTTTGGGAGGACGAGGCAGGCAGAACACCTGAGGTTAGAAGTTTGAGGCCAACATGGCCAAACTTCATCTCTACTGAAAATATAAATACTAGCTGTGCATGGTGGTGAATGCCTGTCATCCCAGCTACTCAGGAGGCTGAGGCAGAAGAGTCTATTGAACCTGGAAGGCGGAGGTTGCAGTGAGCCGAGATCACACCACTGCCCTCCAGCCTGGGCAACAGAGCGAGACTCCATATCAGAAAAAAAAAAAAAAAAAAAAGAAAGAAAAAGAAAATAACTCAATGGAGCACAAGTAGCTGAGTAATGCCCCAGGAAGCCGGCATCATTGTTGGACTGCTCAGATGTTCAGGATGTTTCATTTTGAACCTACCTCATTGGAATTTCAAAATATCAGCCTCTTTGGAGCAATACAGAGCAAGTCTGTTCCTTCAAGTAGATGAAAAGCTCCCTGCATGCCTTCCATTGGACTTCTCCCCTTTAGCTTAAAAATATCCACAGTCCTGAAACATGGCTCAGAAGCAGGTATCACCCAAACCCTACTCTTCCAACTCAGCCAGCCAGCCACATACAGGACCCCAAAGCAAAGAAGAGGGTAAGTACAAGGAAAACAGATGAATCACTTTGAAAACCTACCGCTGTTGTCTGAATGAAGCATGACTGTGGCTAAAACAAATAGAGCAGTTGTATAAAGCAAGGCTATTGTCTTTCAGGGAAACCGTAAGACGAAGAGGGCACATTCTATAGTCAGTTGTGCTTCAAGCAGCATCTTTAAAATTATGGAGTAGAAAGGTATGTGCTGGTGATGTCAAAGCAACTGCAAACCAGCTGAATTCCACTAGAATTTAGTCAGATGTTCATGTTTCCTCCTGGAGTTCATTACTTCAGGTAATTCATTTGTCTTTGCTCAATTTTTGTTTTTTTGTTTTAAAAGACAAAGTCTCAGGCCAGGCGTGATGGCTCACACCTGTAATCCCAGCACTTTGGGAGGCCAAGGCAGGCAGATCCCTTGAGGTGAGGAGTTTCAGACCAGCCCGGCCAACATGGTGAAACCCCGTTTCTACTAAAAATACAAAAATTAGCCCGACATGGTGGTGAGTGCCCATAATCCCAGCTCTTTGGGAGGCTGAGGCAGGAGAATCGCTTGAATCCAGGAGGCGGAGGTTGCAGTGAGCCAAGATTGCGCCACTGCACTCCAGTCTGGGTGTCAGAGTGAGACTCCATCTTAAAAAAAAAAAAAAAGAAAAAAGAAAGAAAGAAAACAAAAAGACAGGGTCTCACTCTGTCACCCAGGCTGCAGTGCAGTAGCTTTTTTTGTTTTTAGATGGAGTTTCGCTCTTGTCACTCAGGCTGGAGTGCAATGGCGTGATCTTGGCTCACTGCAACCGCTGACTCTTGGGTTCAAGTAGTTCTACTGCTTCAGCCTCCCAAGTAGCTTGGATTACAGGTGCTCACCACCATGCCCAGCTAAGTTTTGTAGGGATGGAGTTTAATCGTTGTGGCCAGGCTGGTCTCTAACTCCTGACCTCAGGTGATCCACCTGCCTCAGCCTCCCAAAGTGCTGGGATTATAGGCATGAGCCACTGCTCCCGGCCTAGTGCAGTGGCTTGATCATAGCTCACTGAAACCTCGACCTCCTAGGCTCAAGCAATTCTCCCACCTCAGTCTCCTGAGTAGCTGGGACTCCAGGTGCATGCCACCACATCCAGCTCAGTTTGCTTTTGATTTCCATTTCACAACTCTGATATAGTGCGTTTGTTACTCAGCTATGTAACTTTATATTTGAATATCTATTAATTGACTTTGACATCATCCCAAGCTTTGGCCTCCACTCTCAATTTAGGATCCAGTATTTACCTACTACTTCAGTGCTTACCCAGGTTTTGGTCCTGCTGTATCCTGACATATCTAGGGAAAGCGCATGCAAAAAACAATATTGTAGGTAAAAACACTCCAGCCATTAACCAAAGGTCATATTTTACAGATGTGCTCTATGTGGAACTGGGTGCATTCATTTTTCAGACACCTCTGTATATAAAACAGTGTTGGTACCTAGTCATTTCCTGAGCGAGAGACAGCTGATAATCAAGGTGTTTGGACCACTCCTGCCTGACAGGACTGTGAGATATGGTCTCCACATCTAGGTACTAAGTATCTGACCAGATAGATTGTTGAGGTAGTTCTACTCAGGGTACTTTGATGCAGGTCTGGAATTTACTTCTCTTTGTGATGTTAACCATCACCCAACCACAGGACCATTGGTGTGAGTCTTTCCACCATTCTAAGGTTCACTCTCTCATTAGCATCTCATCCTAAGGACACCTTCTACCTCCTTGTCCTCTAAGCGATGCTTTTCAAACCCTGGCCTACAGACCAGTGGCTGCATCAGAATAATGAGGAAGGGCTTTTGGAATACTATGCAGCCATGTCCCTTTGCAGGGACATGAATGAAGCTGGAAACCATCATTCTCAGCAAACTAACGCAAGGACAGAAAACCAAACACCACATGTTCTCACTCATAAGTGGGAGCTGAACAATGAGAACACATGGACACGGAGTGGGGGCATCACACACCGAAGCCTGTCTGCGGGTGGGGGACTGGGGGAGGGATAGCATTAGGAGAAATGCCTAATGTAGATGATGGAGTTGATGGGTGCAACAAACCACCATGGCACGTGTATACCTATGTAACAAACCTGCACGTTCTGTACATGTACGCCAGAACTTAAAGAATTAAAGTATAATATATGTATATCATATATATATATGATACGAATATTATATTCTTCAGGAGATTTTGATTCAATAGGCCTCAGGTGAGGCTAAAACACTACCTTTTCTAATGTTCCTTGTATGATTCTGATGAGTAACCAGGTTGGGAATCACACTTACAGAAAGTCCAAGTCAGGAACAGGAGGTTATGACTTCCTGGGCCACATCTTCTCTCTGGTCTCACTCTATCTGGTTAGCTTCATCCAGTAAGCCCTTTGGTCAGTTTGTTCCCATTGTGACCATTATGATTGCTCATAATGGTTCTGTTCTAATTCTCCTGGCTTCATCTCATTGGTCATTCCAGCTGCTCTGATCCTAATAGTCCTTTTGATACTCTGTTCTAGTTTACTAAGAAGAGTCACCAATTTTGTTTCTGTGGTTTGGTACGAAATAAGGTGGCAAAGAGAGCTCTCTCCAAATGCACTCCTGACATTTTTCAGCAGCTCACATTACTAGTTCTGGACCAAGGATTGGGAGCAGAAGAGACACATGTCGTCTCTGAGTTGAGGCTGTTAAGAGCTGGTGTGACTTTCCATTCTTCTCTTCTCCTCTAGCAGCGACCTGAGAAGCTACATATTGACTTGGCGCTACCACGGATGGAGGAGCCTGCATTGCTGAATCACAGGATGAAGGCGAACCCATGCCAGCCTCCATCCGTCTCTGGGTGAGCAATAAATAAACTTTTTTTGCTGAGCCACAGAAATTTCAGGGTTGATTTGTTACCACAGCATGGGCTACCCTGTCTAGGACTAAACAAAACAGTGATTTCTGGGTAAAATGCTGCCAGGATAACTAAGCCGACCCATCACGACCCAATTTCCTAATTTCTTGTTCTCTTTCCTTTCCAAATAGCACATAGTGGACACCCATTGGACACCACAAAGACAAAATAATGCTAGTTACAAGGGATGAAACAGCTCATTAGTGAAAGAAAAAGCAGCTCCCACTTAAACTGTGATTGACCCTCCAGGAAAGTTATTTTCAATCATATTTAAATCCTTTAACATTTCCCTTACCTCTCATTCATTCTATACCAAAGGTAGCAGACTCCGATGTGAGGGTAAAATGCAGGAGTAGGTAGATCTAAAACAATGGGTAATGTGGGGCTTTGTACTTAAGAACAGAGCAAATAGAAAAGGGCTTGGCCGTCTCAAGACATTCAAATCAATAAAAGTAACAGCTCTGGGTAATTAAGAGACTGCAGCCCCGATCAGCCTGCCACCAGAAACTATGACCTGAAGCTGGACGTACCACTAGAACTCCATCAGGTCTAAAAACCATTTTTGAATTTTAGTATATACATGTCAAAATACTATGCAGCCATTCAAAGATATGAAGCATGCTGGATGCAGTAGCTCATGCCTATAATCCCAACACTTGGGGAAGCTGAGGCGGGAGGATTTCTTTCTTTTTTTTTTTTTTTTTTTGAGATGGAGTCTCATTCCGTTGCCTAGGCTGGAGTGCAGTGACGCAATCTCAACTCACCGCAGGCTTCACCTCCCCAGTTCAAGCAATTCTCCTACCTCAGCCTTCCAAGTAGCTGGGATTACAGGTGCACGTCACCATGCCCAGCTAATTTTTGTATTTTTAGTAGAGACGGGGTTTCACCATGTTGGCCAAGGCTAGTCTTGAACTCCTTGCCTTAGGTGATCCACCCGCCTCGGCCTCCCAGAGTGCTGGGATTACAGGCTTGAGCCACCACGTCTGGCCTGCCTTCCTGCTTAATACCCACAGAATGAGCACTCTCCAGAGGAATCAACAATGCTTGTTTGGTGGGGAGTATTTCTTAAGCCAAGAGTTCAAGACCAGCCCTGGCAACATAGCGAAACTCCATCTTTACCAAAAATTTAAAAAGTTAGCTGGGCATGGTGATGCACGCTTTTAGTCTTAGCTACTTAGGTGGCTGAGGTGGCAGGATCTTTTGAGCCAGGGAGGTTGGGGGCAGGAAGCCATGATCTCAACATTTCACTCCAGTCTAGACAATAGAGTGTGACCCTGTCTCCAAAATAAATTAATAATAAATAATAAAAATATGATATAGAAGAATAGTCACTGGGAAGAAAAATTGCTTATATGTATGTGTTTTTAAAATTAAAAAAAAACAATTATAATATGTAATTTATTAAAATAAAATGTGCAGGAAAAAAGACTAGAAGTAGAGTTCATGTACCTAATAATTAACGGTGGATGTCTCTAGGTTGCAGGCTTTTCCCACTCTCCTAAAATAAACATGGAGTGTTTTGCAGTCATCAGGAAAGAAATGTTTTCTTAAAAATTCGTATCTTGGAATAAAGGGCAAATATATCACTATGTTAACTACAAAAATTACTGATTTTTAAATTCTAACTATATAACGTGTACTATGATATCTTGTGTGTTTGGTGTGCTTTAAATCAGTGGTTGTACTAAATTACAGAGAAACTAACCTGGAACTGCCACTCATCTACAAGTTCTGGTTAGGTTAAAACATATATCTATTATCTTTTATATATTTTAGAAGAAAATTTTGCTCATTTTAGTGATTATCATAATTATATGGCAAAAGAGAACAAACCACATCTTAAAAGCATAACAGCACAGGGGCAAGTGGTAATAGACAATGGAAAATATCCTGTAATTACAGCTGCCAAAAGAATGCAAATAATTAAGAAAACTTTTTGTTCTCCAAGTTTTTGTTCCACTGTTTATTCATTGGAATGACTTGGATTTGGTGAGTTCCCAACAGACTTGAGACTGGTTCATTAAGCTCTAATCAGATTAGGACTTTTTGTTTCTTTGTTCTGTGTGTCCTCAGGTGGCAATTTTGGCAGAACATCATAAATTTTTGCCCTGCATCTAAGTACAGTAACATAACTTTGCCTATGTATTACATAATAAGAATATGATTCTCAGGCATCAATCCTAAAAAGGCAACTCTAGTTAATCAAGTCTACTTCTGTCCAAATAATCTTCAACATATGAATTTTACTTGTAATACACATGTATATCACTGCACTAGATACACATTTATGTATGGATAGCCAGGCATATATATTCTCCCAGAGCAATTCCCAGATGAACATTTTACTTTTTAAAACTGTTTTTAAAAACTTTTTGAAAAGTTTTCCTAAATCTTATTTCTCTAAATAAAGGTTGACTTCATGTATTTGAATCAGGTGGCAAGATGGGTGAAAAACATGGTAAGGAAGGTTATTTGTCAGAAAAAGAAACAGAAATACAAGACCAGTTGGATAAGAACAATTACAAGACCATCAGGAGAAGGCTTTAAATTAAATATGAAATACAGCAAGGGCCCAGTAAAATCTTCAGTATTGAAGAGCTGGTATAAGTCATCTTGCTATGCCAGGGGGCAGAAAGATTGTTGGGAGGAAATGGCCACTAGATGCTATCTAAAGTCACTACTGGATTATCCTGGAGGCACAGATAAATAAATAAACATACATCAGAAAATTTTCACTTTAATAAATTCACCCAGACTTTCATAATCAATAAATCGTCTGAAAAGCCATTCTACTAAGAGCATACTTATGAACTTTATGTTAGTTCAAAAAATAAAATGGTATTTGTATTTACGTACGGAGGAGCTCAAGGACTCTAAAAGTCTTATTCTGGTCTTGACAACAATTCAGGTGAATAGGGAATGAAAATGAAGACACAGGTCAGGGCAGGTCCTAGATGAGACTTCAGAAAGTTTTGGACAAGACAAAGGTCCTGATACAGATGGGTAGGCTTCAGGTTCTGGGCAGCTCTGGAATGGTGGCTGTGTGCACTCCAGCAGGGTAGAAGTAGTGATCTTCACACACTTTCCTGATAGCATGACAGATGATGATCTGCATATACAGTCCTCAGCTCTTGGAGCAGCAGGTACTTTAGGGGAGACCTATGCTTCCTGCAGGAGGCATTTGAATGGCAATCAGTTTTGTAACATTTACATTGTTGAAGGTGTTTGGCTCCTCACACACTTGAGTATAGAAAATGTATTGAGTATGTGAAATGTATGGAGTATAAAAAATGTATTGAGAGTATAGAAAATGTGTTGAGTAGAGTCTAGAAAATATACTGAGTATAGAAAATGTATTGAGTATAGAAAATGTATTCAGAGTATAGAAAATGTATTTAGTATAGAAAATACATTGAGTATAGAAAATATATTGAGAGCATAGAAATGTATTAAGTATAAGTGTGTAGAAAATGTATATAGTGGAGTATAGAAAATGTAATGAGTATAGAGTATAGAAAATGTATTTAGTAGAGTATAGAAAAGAGTATAGAAAATGTATTGAGTAGAGTACAGAAAATGTATTGAGTAGAGTATAGAAAATGTATTGAGTATAGAAAGTGTATTGAGAGTATAGAAAATGTATTGAATAGAGTACAGAAAATGTATTGAGTAGAGTACAGAAAATGTATTGAGTAGAGTATAGAAAAATGTATTGAGATAAGCCAAGGCCAGGCTCAGTGGTTTTCGCTTGTAATCCCAGCACTTTGGGAGGCCAAGATGGGAGCCTCACTTGAGGCCTAGAGTTTGAGACCAGCCTGGGTAACATAGTGAGGCCCTGACTCTAAAAAATTTTTAAAATTTGCGGTGCATGGTGGCATGCACCTATGGTCCTAGCTACTCAGGAGGCTGAGGCAGGAGGATTGCTTGAGCCTGGGAGTTCAAGGCTGCAGTGAGTCATGATCACACCACTTTACTCCAACCTGGGTGACAGAGTGAGACCCTGTGAAAGTAAGAAAGGAAAGAAAAAGAAGGAAGGAAGGAAGGAGGGGAAGGAAGGAGGGGAAGGAAGGAAGGGAGGGAAGGAAGAGAGAGAGAAAGAAAGAAAGGGAGGGAGAGAGAAAGAAAGGGAAAGAGGAGAAAGAGGGAGGAAGAGAGAGAGAGAAAAAAAGAAGAAGGAAGGAAGGAGAGAAAGCAAGCAAGCAAGCAAGAAAGAAAGAAAGAAAGAAAAAGAAAATGTGTGTCAGACTGGTTGTCAACCTATGAGTGACAGGCAGCATACAACAAAAATAGACATGATGACAGAATCTCAGGTTTGATCTAGAGCAGATCGTCTCAGGTTCTGTAACGGCATCAAAATCAACTGTCCTCAATTGAAAAGATCCAGTACATCCTATTTTAAAATCTACAGAAATGCACCTGTGTTTCCCATCACTGTACCATGACTCCAGTTTCCAAGTTTGCAATGCAGTGAAAAAAAAAAAAAAAAACCCAAATCCTTCTCCATCTTAAGCTTCAAACCACTGCAGACTTGAAGCAGAGATAAAAGAAACCCTTTTAACCTCTGTTTTTCACTTTTTGGTGCTTAACAGGCAATCCTAACATTAACAAGTTTAGTTCCGTGAAACACCTTCTGGGCCAAAAGATAAGACTTCCTTCCCCAACAAATCACATTTTCTCAAATATTTTTCAAAGCTGAGGTGTAAGCCTTTTAATAGAATTATGCAAATTTTGCCCCAACTCTAAATGTTTTAGGAACTAAATAACCACTTCGAAGAATCACAGTTTTGCAGTGTCCACATTGGAAAAGAAATGCTAGGAACTGCAGGCAATGAAAGGGACGGCGGTGGCACCCCACAAGTGGGAATTTATTTTTCTTTAACGTTACTCTGCACAAACCTAAAGCAACCTCTGCTACTGAAAGGTCAGTTTTGACTCTCTGGGAT